ACTAGAAATAGCCCTAGTAGTAGCCGTAGTGGTAGTTGTAGTAGCAGTAAAAGTAATAGTAATAGTATTAGTGTTCGTAACGCGAGCACGAACAAGTTCATGAATAGCCGTCGTAGTAGAAGCAGTAGTAGTAAAAGTCGTGGCCGTTCTGGTAGTAGTACTAGTAGTAGAAGTAAGCCTACAATTAATAATACTGGTAGTGAGGAACATCAGAATGATAAAAGTAGCCGTGGCAACACTAGTGGTAGTCGGAATGAGAGTGATAGTTGTAGTCGGAGCAGCAGTAGCAATAGTAGTGGTAATAACCGTACACGCCGGTCGAAAGAAGCACGTAAACACGTGAACTAGGGGGGAGGGTAAAGTAGGTTGGGCGCAAGCCAAACCCGAGGAGAAGGGGCAACAAACAAAGAAACAACACCATACAGCGAACACACACCGATTCTTGACATAGGAAGCGCCAAAAGTAGATTGTGATCGACAGGGGTCAAGAAAAGCTACGCTCAACGACCGACGGGTAGTGGTAGTAGTAGTAGCAGCAGTCGGCGTAGCCGAGCTAATAATAGTAGTTGTCGTAGTAGTAGTAGTAGTAGTAGTAGTAGTAGTAGTAGAAATAGTCGTACTAGTACTAGTACTAGTACTACTAGTAGTAATCGTAGTAATAAAAATAACACAAGACGCAGGAGCTGTTGAAAAAATACTGAAGTGCTAGTAACAATGATAGTAGTCGTAGTAGTAGTAGTAGTAGTAGTAGTCGTCAAAGTAATAGTAGTAGTAGTAATAGTAATAATAGTAGTAGTAGTAGTAGTAGTAGTAGTTGCAAAAACAGTAGCACCAATTATAGTAGTAAGAGTAACTGCACCCGTTGTAAGAATAGTCGCCGCCGCCGCCGTAGTAGTAGTAGTCGTCGTTGTCATCGCAGCAGTAGAAATAATATGACGACTACGACTACGACTACAACTACTACTACCACTAGTGGGAGTGGTCGTTGTAGTAGCAGAAGAAGAATCCGTAAAAGTAATACGTTTGTAAATTGGTAGTAGTAACATTAGCAGTAGTAATGATAATAGAATCCGTCGCAGTAACAGTAATAGTAACAGTTGCAGTAGCATGCAGCAGTATTACTGAAGGTAATAATAGCAGTAGCCCGTGTAGTAACCCATGTCGTAGTAGTAGTAGTTGAGAAGGGATGCAATACGAGTAGTAGTCACAGTCGTAGCGGAAGTAGTGGTCGCAGTCGTAGCCGTAGTAGTAGTGTTCGTAGTCGTCGCATTGGTAGGAGAGGTCGAAGTAATAATGATAGTAGTAGCCGTCGGGGCCACTAGAATTAAGAGTAGTAGTCGTGTAGTAGCAAAAAAAAAAAAGTATAAGTAGTAGTTGAAGTGGCTGTTGTAGTCGCAGTAAAAGTTATATTAGTCGTAGTCGTAGTTGTAGTAGTGGTAGCCGTGGTAACAATAAACGCAGCAATAGGAGTAGTGATCCTAGTGGTCGCAGTGGTAGTAGTGTACTAACAATAATAACAATAAAAAAGCTACCGTAGCCGTAGTCGCAGTAGCAGAGGTAGTACGAGTAGTAGTAGTAGCAGTAGTAATAGTAGTAGTGGTAGCAGAAGTAGCCATAGTAATAGTAGTAAGAGTAGCAGTCGTAGTAGTTCTACTACTAGCCGTAGTCGCTGTAAGAATATTAATAGTCATCGCAGCAGCAGCAGCAGTTGTGGCAGTAGTAGTAGTAGTAGTAGCAGCAGTAGTAGCAGTAACATGGTAGTAATGATCGTAGCAGTAGTAGTAATAGTAGTGGTAGTGGTAGTGATAGAGCAGTGGCAGTGGCAATGGCAATGCGCGGCCTGCACGGAGTCCGTCGCGCGACGCGCAAACGGCCACGCCAGAATGGGCGAACCGAAAAGCCCCCCCCCCCCCCCCCCCCCAGGCACCCACGAGCGCCGACCCCAATGCGCCCACCCAGACAGGCTCTCTGCGGGGACGGCGCGGGAGCGCAGGCGATGTGCCACGCGAAGCGTAAACGATCACACCACCCGCTGGAACACGCATCGCCAGGGCCTCGTAGAAAGTTAGAAAATTGCGAGAACCAACCACACATGTAGCCAACGCTTCCGTTGAGAAAGAACATGACACATAAACATGGATGACAGTAGCGGCGAAACTAAAGTCCGACCCGCTGCAGC